TAACCCTGGGTAATCATTTCAAAGTTTGCCCTCATTTTCACCATATACATGTACTCACGCGTTGATATAGTTTTCTCACTGGGATCACTTCGTCTGACATTCTCACCAGTACCAGCAATAGTTACTATGGAAACATCATAATCTGTTCCAGGGATCAGGTAATTTAGAGACAACGTAGTTGCACTTTGAGCAAGAATGATAGGAGACTCTGGGAAACCAATAGTCGGTGTGTATATCACCTCGTACTGTAAGAAGTTATTGCTTGATGGTGGTATCCATGAAATAGTGAACATGGTTGCTGTGCGGGCATCAATCGTTATGTCACCCGGCATTGGTGGTTTGGTACTCTGACCTATTGAGGCAACACAGTAAGAGTGTTATAAGATGGAGGTCATCTTCCACCAACAATAGTGGCAGCATTTTGATTTGAAAGTTTTCATTATTTTTATTCTTGTAGATCACTGACATTGTAAATTCACACCATTCAAAGTGATGTCAATTTCATAATTTGAAAGTGTTTTCTTATCACAATTTTTTGTGAAACTCCCTGACATAAGGACCCCAATGGAATCTTTCATTGAACAATTTTTTTGAAATTTTTCTTGAAAATCAAATTCACAAAATTTGAGTTGTTCAATTTTGAAAGCGGGAAGTAGCAAATTACACAATGAGGTTCTTTCGAAGAGAGAGTTACAACAACTTAAGGTGTATGGTTCCAGTGGATTCCATAATTTGATCATGGAATGAACACAGGTGGTAATAAGAATAAAACCATTCACAGTATATGAACACAGACAGGATTGGACAATTAAGACTTACTTACCAGTAGTTATGACAACTGTTTGTTTTTCACTCAACTGTTTATTGATATTTGCCACTCCTTTAGCAGCAGCGATACTAACTGTGTATACAGTTTCTGGATATAGATCGTCCAACATTATGGTGGGTGTTGCCTTGGATACCTGTATCGGGGACTGTGTTGCATCGCTCGGCACAGGGTTGTAACATACTTCGTATTCGTCAAAGTTACCACTTGCCGATATCCAGGAAAGTACAACTGTAACGTCTGTTACTGAGATAACAGTCACCTCTCCTGGTGGTGATGGAACTAAGGGATAACATGTCATAAAAATGTTAATTTCCTCACAGTGAATCACTCTAATGTGAAGCCGGTGTATGACATTTGCTGTATAAACATGCACATGATTAAACTCCTTATTCAGTAAAAGATGCATAAATCTATTGTGTTTAATTAATGTACAAAACACTTTGCCATTTATAACCACTTCATCTGGCACAAATGTACAATTAGTGAACTCATCTTCCCTCAACTATTGAGGGACGGTGGTGAACTTCACATTTTTTTGTGATTTATACTAATTTATGAGCAAATATTGCTATAAACCTAATTTGTAAACTCAGTGCTATGCAAAATTGGGTTTACTATATCAGCTAAGGTATGTGATAAACAAGTTAGAGATAATTTGTACACTACTCCACTCCCACAGTAGTGTTAAATCTGTATTAGAAACCACATCCTTTCTTTTTTAATAATTGAGACCCGACTATATTCACAATTTCTCTAATAGAAGCTGCATCCTCTCTGTTGCATTGCACCAATTTAATAGATTTTAGGTGATACTGCAAGATCTCATGTAGTCAGACTTATGCTGCAAAAATTAAATGATTTGATTTTGAACTTGAATTTCACTTTCAAAGGAAAATATGACATTGAGGTACGCTTACTTTTACCAAAATTGACAATCATTTGTATAGCATATTATATGAATCCTGAAAATACCAAAACATTTTTTCATTTTTGTTGAATGCTGCCACTAAGACTAATAGTTGCCATAGGAAGGAGAGCGTGGCCGCAACTGACGTTAGAATATATCTACATAGGTAATGAGCGAAATCTACGCAACATATCTGGGGAATCTGCTTAGAAGCTACTGTAAAATATGTTAGAAGCTGCGGTTCTATTAAAATGGTACAATGCAACAGAGGGGATGCGGTTTCTATTAGAACATCTAAACAAATAAGAAATTATGATTTTTTCGTTCTCGCTTGTTAAAAAAAGGGTGCGACTTCTATTAGGGATGTGGCTTCTAATACAGATTTGACGGAACTAGAAAATAGAAACCATACTCCAACCTATATACCCAGGTATAGACCAGTACTACGGACAAAATAACACACTCACTGGTTCTGATCTGTTCATATGATGTCACAGGGTCATTGCCTCCAATGGTTGTCAACACTATAGTATACAGAGATCCAGGTGTTAAGGAGTCATACATCTTCTCTCGACTTCCACTCCGCGATACCACATCATACATATTCTTATTGTCATCTCCTGACATTGCTATTGTATACTGGTTGAAATCGCTGGTGACCTCCATCCAGTGAATTGAAATGGTTGTCATGGTAACTTCCATTACAATAATGTCTCCTTCATCGGCTGGAGCTATACATGTTGAAATAAACAAGATTTTTTTATAAATTGTTGATTTTTTATGTTGAGATGGGTCAGTGCATCTTTTGAATAAATGCTTATAATGACACCCTAGATGAATTCTTTAACATACCTGTTCTGAAAGCATAGGTACCAGGTACGCTATCAGTGGTACCAGTTCGTGTCACTATAGTTACCAGATAATCCGTATCCGGCTCTAATCCCATCAACTGTACCACAGGGCATGCATCGCTGGGCATGACAATAATAATATCATCTGTGTTGCCAACACCAGCACCAGAAGCTTGTAGTTCAATGGTGATATGGAACGTATCAAATGTTCCCACGACTGGTGTCGTGAAGGTCAGCGTGGCTCCCGATGACGTAATGAGAGTAACCTCTATGTTACTTACAGGGAATGGAGCTGAAATAACAAAATAAGAAGTTGTTTACAACCATAACAACTATAACAACTATAGCTTAATTGAATGATCAGGAGATGTTGAGCCTCAGTCAAGTTTGCATCTCCTGAGCATGTTCCTGAGCATAGGCACAATGCATTATGGGAGGTAACTTATCCCTCAATGGTTAAGAGATACTTCTGGACTCATAAAATTACCCACAATCCTTTGACATCCTATGCCTGGGATATTAGGCATCATATTTCGAACATTTAAATCTATCTTTGCGCCTAAATTTGAGTCCAATTTAAGTTTTTCTTAGTCACCGGCACCTATTCAATAGTACAGTGTTTATTGTGACTGGCGTATAAGCGTAAAAAACATTTCGACAATGAGCTTTTACCAACATAAATATTGTTTAATCTTTCTTCATTGATCAAAAACTAGCAATTTCCCACCAAAATTAATGCAAAAAGATCATACTACAACGTTGGTAAATCTCTTTCGCATTGCATTCACCATTTAGTGAGGTCGTTGACTTTTCAGGTGAAAGGACAGTTTCAGGTCAACTTGTGTATGGAAAAAACATGGTGGATATTGTATCGCAAACAGTGACAACTATTTTAGAACCAAATTAGGGTCTTTCATTCTTCTTGGATGCCTAATGCTTAAGACAATGAAGTACAGCTGTTGTCTGTTAAAATCTTGTTTGATATTTTTAAAAGCTATGGGATTCTCAATAAAGCCTCCCTAGGTACATGTATTATATAAATGACATACCAAGCACAGCAGTTGTCTGACCAACATCATCTCTGCTGCCATCAACTTCAACAGTGGAGACAGTCAGCATATATTGGGTGCCTGGCGTCAGATCATCCAAAGTCACACCCGGATCACTACTCTTAGCGACTGTAACTGGAGACTGCAGGTTGCCATCAGAGGGGGTATATGTGAACTCGTAATTGACAAAGGAACCACCCTGAGGTATCCAGCTGACATCCAATGAACTCTGACCTCTCTCTGTTACCATAATAGTCTGGGTAGCTGGGCAAACAATATAAAAAGGAGAAACTTTAATACTTGATGGAAACCTTCCATTAATGTTCAGTTTTTGATATTCTGTTGATTATTTCATTTGTAACTGAATTTGAATGTGCTTACTAATTTTGATAACAACTCTCGTAAGCACATAAAGAAGAGGCATTAACAAACCACCTGCTTACACCCTGTTTTGTCTGTTGATTTTAGTAGGACTATAGAGGTTTTAATCCTTGGGTGCGGACATCCGGGTATTGTCACCACAAAGGCAGAAAATTCTCAGAAAAAGATACTTTGGGATGATTGTTGAGACTTCCCTGAACAGTGTAACACGATTACCCCTGCGCATTCAACATATATAAATTTGGTTGTTCAGGACTACTTCAAAGTTGAATTTGTGTTATTTTCTCAAATTTAGCCATTTTCACTGCCCCTTCGACTGGCATTCCACAGCAGCTCGCGAAGAGCCCATAGAAATGCTTAACACAGTGATGCGTGTCATAGCAACACAGAACGTTTTGTGATGTAAGCTCCGCCCCAGAGGATAGTATTCATACTATTTGAGAACATATTAAAACAGAAGTCAAAACTGAAAAGGATTTGTATACGAGAAAAATGTAGGTGATTGTATGGAAAATAAAATCAAAGAAAAAAATTCTTGATTCAAATTTATGATAAGTCATTTACATTAAGCATTTTATATGACTACACACAAATAATGAGAAAAGATGGTCAAGTTTAACAATACATGTCATATGAGACATGGAATCCTATAAAAGAAAGTATGTATTCTATTCTGAGACATGGGGTGGTCAGGTTCAAGGGGGGAATCTTGTATAAATAATGACACACATACATACGTAATGAAGGTTATACCTGTTCTCTGTGTTGTACTCCTTGGTTGACTCATCATCTTATCATCACCGCTTCCAATCACGGTCACTATGGTGATAGTGTAATCCGTAACTGGGAACAGTTCATACAAAGTGAAGATGGTATCTTCATCTGGAGTTTGAGTACCAGCAACAATAATATCACCACCAGCCATGTTGTAGCGTACTTCGTAGAAGTCAAAATTACCAGCCGCAGGGACCCAATAAAATGAAAGTATAGACTGGGTCACTTTGTTTAGTATGATGGCTCCCGGTTTGGATGGTCCTGTGTGTAGAAATAAACACGACATGGTGTCACAATTCAACACACGTGTATGGAAACATTTTGCACTTTGAAAATCTCCTTGTAACTAATTTTAATGAAATCTGCAAAGATTTCGCAACATTTTGCAGAAGTGAACTTTTTATTAAGACTGATGAGTCACAACTATCATGAGTCATAACTATCGCAAAATTCTATTGTCACAAATGTTGTCAAATTTTGAAAATTGTTTTATGTCTGTGACAAATTTCCATGAGATCTGCAAGTCTAAAAATCGCACAATTTTCAATGAGATTTTAAGACTGAGTCACCGCGACTATCGCAAAAATTATCATATGGTAAGAATTGATATCGACGAAATATATTGGATCAATCAAGCATTGGTGTGATTTTCAAACCACACATAGCAATGACATGATTTACTTCACTGAATATTAACATTTGTTCAAATCTAAAACCAAGGTTAGGGCATCCCACTGCAGCTGAAAAATTTATCAAATGGAGAACTGGATTTAAGTTTTTAGTAGCATATAAGTATCGGTAATAGACAATTGTACATAGCTAGTACACAAATGATTCCCATTCAAGAGGTGCAGAGAATCTTATTATCAACAAATGTACGTCTACTCACGAGTTCTCTGTATAACCGTGTCGCTTTCATCAGTTCCCATGACAGTAACAGAAATGGTGTATGTTTCACCTGGCGCCAGCCCTGTGAACTGATACTCAGTTGGGTCACCAAAATTAATGTTTTGTTGTTGTATAATTTGACCCAGTTCTGAAGATGCTGTGACTTCATAGAAGACTGCTAATTGGTCAGTACTAGCTCCCCAGCTGATATCAATTGATGTGTCTTCTACTTGGTCCACGTTGATTTCTGCAGCTGCTGGTGGTTCTATCAGAGATCAAATGTAGAGCGGAGTTAGTACTTTAAATGCTAAAAAATAAATTCATCAACGTCTCACAAATATACCTGCACAATTTACAATATACAATTTCCTTTTTCAAAATATAAGATCAAACTTTGTAGACAATGAGAGAATTGTCCTATGGGTACCAAATTAAAAAAAAAACAAGCCATGCACAGCACTGTCCCCTTAAGTTATCGAATTTATAATATATACATGTAGTTTTGTTTATAGTAATATAGTTGGAATATAAACATGTCAGAAATATGATTATGATGATTGTTTAACATTAAAATGATCAACATTTGTATCTGATCATCAAATGAGTACTTGTCCATATTGAAAGATATTGCTCTGGAACAGCTTTAATTAAAACAAAATCTCTCTCTCTCTCTCTCTCTATATATATAACATATATAACATGATGTATAATGAACATATAAAATTTGAACATAATCAGTCAAAGCATGTCAGAGAAATGGCTAAAGAACCACATTCATTAAAACAAAATGGCCGTCAGTCAGCCATTTTGAATCTTATCTGAAAAACAAAATGATGTGCATCAAGGTCCTATAATGTCCAATGTATATACCAAGTTTGAACAAAATCCATCTGTAAATAGCTGAGAAATGCTTGATTTCGATGATTTTTTGCACAAAATTGGGCGCCATTCGGCCATCTTGAATCAGATTGAGAAACGAATTGATGTGCATATGTATAATATCATGTAAAGGTATGATGTACGTATGAAGTTTGATTGTGATTGGTCCAGGCATGTCTAAGATACGAACGCAGAGAAGCACAGACATACAAACGCACAGAGGTCAAAACATAAGTCCCCGTTTTTGGACTGCGTTCGAACGGGGACTAAAAATGATTGACATGTAAATGATTACAAAATATTTGGCAGGGGAAGTAACAATGTTTAAATAGTTAATACCGAGTTCTGACCAGTAACAAATGAAAATGGAAACAACGAATAAGAATCTATGTAGCAGCGTGTATGGATGCAAATGGCCAATAAAATGCAACCTGCAAATGTGATTTTACATTCACATTGACTGTCGAATGTGGGGGAATTATTTTAATAAAAAACACTAAATAATCAAAGAAAGCTTAGAAAGAACTCCCGTGTGCTGAGAGTTTTGGAGACACATTAAAAATTAATTCAAAATGACTTATACTTGAGATATTGATGGAATAGCTGAAAACTAATTATGCAAATAAGGTAACTAATATGAACAGATTTAGGTGTAAAACTAATAAGGTCTGCCACAATGTACCTAAGTTTCATTGAAATGTGATTAGTACCAAAAAAATATTAATTATTATACTAATTAGAGAATTATATGACAGATTTTAACCCAAATTAATAATGCTGTCTATTGTCCTAGAGCATTTATGTACCAAGTT